ACAAGACAAGTCAACTGGTACCGGCGATGACACCCACGACGGTTGGAGTGATGACAAATCAAGTCTAAAAGGAAACATACGATGGTTGAGAGAGAAAACTTGAAACAATTTGGAGGGAAAAAGAAAAGAAAAGAAAGAGAGAAGCGTGAGTTTTGAAATATCCTTAAAATTTTGGGTAAACTATGAATTGGTCCTCATACTTTCAAGAGTTTCCAAAATGATACTAGAACTTTAAAAACACAATAAATTAGTCCCCAAAATTGGAATGTGACAAAAAAATTGTTATTCGACTCGACTCATTGCTCGTTAAGCTCACCATAATTTTTTCTTATTTTTTAATATATGTAATATCTAATAATACTATATATAGCTTAATATAAACATAAAATAACAAATTTAACAAAAAAATATCATAATAGTGTGTAAAACACTTCCAAAGTTTAAACTCTAAAGTAACAACTTACAAATACACTATACTAACATATTACAATAAAAGTAACTCTCATTTTTAATTGGTCCTTAAATTTCTAAATATTCTATTTTTATCCTTAATTAATAACTTTCATTCTAAATTAGTCCTTAAACTTTTGAACAATTTAATTTCATCCCTAAACTATGATCCTCTTTCTAAATTATTCTCCATACTTTTGAATATTCCAATTTCACCTCCAAATTCATCCAAATACGTAATTACTTTCAACCATAGTTTAATCTAAATTTTGTTTTCTTTCGAACATATAATAATATAACTTGGCCTAATGATTTTATTAATAAGAGGCGTGAAGAGTTTATACATATAGTGTGAGATGAAATTGGAGTGTTCAAAAAGTTTCAGGATTAATATAGAATGAAGCTCATAGTTTGGGAATGAAATTGAAATGTTCTAAAGTTTGAGGACTAATTTAGAATGACAGTCAATGTTTAGAGATAAAATTGAAACATTTAAAACTTTAAAGACCAATTTAAAATGAGGGTCATACTTTGAAGACATATGATGCAATCAACTAATAAAAAATAATATATAAGATTTTACAACTTTTAAGGGGACAGATGGCTCGGATCCATCTGTGATGATGGACCACAAAGAGCAGACGCATGATCTTACGTTAGGTGAATGGACCAGAACTTTAAAAAATTTAGGTGGCGGACTTGAACTTATAAAATCCTTGAGGGACGAAAATAATTTTTTAATAAAAAATACATAAAAAATACAAATATATAATAATTTTAAATTTTTAGGGAACGACTACCACCCACCCCGTCTAGGTCCATCCTGTTCATCACATAAGAAAAAAAAAGTCAATATTTGCAGAATACGAGAAGAAGAGAATTCAGTTGATGGAACAAAATCATGCATTGTATATGATATTTTAGACTGCTAACGCTACTGAAAGAAAAATATCATTTATATCCATCCATATTACTGATTTATCACTTCATGCCTATTGGTATTGTTCATTTAATACAAATAAAATAAAGAAAAGAAAATTAAATTAAATCTTTGGTCGAAATTCATTTTGATCATGTTCACATTGACTCGAGTAACCTATGTTAGTTTAAAAAGAACATTAATTTATACTAATACTTGTATTTATTACTGTTAAATTTAAATGAAAATATTTTTTATATTATTAAAAAAAGGTAATCCAAGTCGACTCGGACTAGTTTGAAGTAAAATTTACATTATCTAAATTTGATCCAAACCAATCCGTAACAATAAAATAAATGACATTAGAGCTCGTCTTTGTCGTAGACCATACTGATTTCGATTTTTTCTGCTTTTGTTCACTTCACAAATAAGAGAAATAGGAAGAAAGACAGAAGAAGCAAAATGATAAATTGGTTATCTAAACTTTGAATCTATCTTTTTTGCATAGGGTTTTCTGATTTGTATGGGGTATGTGTTTTATGTTGTTTGTCCTTGAAATTCTTAATTTTAAAGTCATATTTTAATTAATTTTTGAACATGTTACGTCATCTAAATTGATAATGTGATACATATTACATTATTTAAAGTGATAACGTGATATGTGTTACGTCATTAGTTAAACATATGTAAAAATATTCACTATTTAATTGGATACTCATCACTCCTCATGTACACGTTTGTACTCACTTGTATCTATCTGGCAACAACCTCAATTTTAAAGACTGAAAATTTGAGATAGGAAAAATGATATCTTGAATTCTAAAAAATATTTATACCTTAACGTTTGATTAAATTACAAGTCATGTACTATAAAATCTTAACATTTACAGAATACTCTATGAAATTTTACCTAAATTCATAATGGTTCAAAATTAGATAGTTAGTAGGCAAATATAATGTGAGTAAAGCAGGGCCGGCCCTGGGCCAGGGTAGGAGGGGCACCCGCCCAGGGCCCACAAAATAATCTTTTTCAATATAATCTTTTTTATTTTTTCTGATAATAAATTAAAAGTTTGTAAAATAAAATAGAGTAATCTATGCATTTAGTATTTATACTATCAGTTTTGATCCGTTTTAGTACCTAATTTTTTAATTTTTTTCAAAATCATATCTAACCTTTAGTTTTAATTTCATTTTAGTACCCGTCGTTAAAAACTTAACGCGTTTAGTACATAACTATTAGTTTTTGTTTGTTTTAGTACCTAAACTTTCAACAACAAAAACTTAATGTTAAATTTTGAATGGATACTAAAATGAAATAAAAAAACTAAAGTTTTTAACAGCGAGTACTAAAATGAAACAAAAATTAAATTTTACGTATGATTTTGATTTTTTTTTTTAAAGTTTAGGTATTAAAATAAATCAAAACTAATAATTTAGATACTAAATACATTATTTACTCAATAAAATAATGGGGCCCATGAATTTATTAAGGTGTCAATTATCTTTATTGAATTTTATATTAACATTAATAAACTATTCTTTCATAAAATTCTAATTTAATATTTCTTTCTCAAAATTCAAAAAAAAAAAAATCAATGGAACTCTTTAATTTTGGTATTTCCAAATTCCCACTATCAATTTACCAAATCTCTTTCCCGATTTTTCATATCAATGAAAAAATTTATTAACATTATTTTTTTTCAAAACTTAATGAGAGGAAAAAATTTAAGTATAATTAGTATGTTTTTTTTTCTCTTTCATGTTTCACTGATTCATCTGAAAATTATTATTCTTATTTTTTAATTTATCATATTTGTATCACACGTAAAGTCACAATTTTTTGTTATCAATTATGGCGCTTGAATAATATTGAAGATCATTCTTAAAATTCTAGGTAGATCATGTTTTCAAATTCTTTATTTTAATTTTATATATTTTTAAATTCTAGAAAAGATCGTTCTTTCATTTTCAAAAGCTATGTTTGTATTGAGAAAAATATGTTGGAAAGCATTGATGTTGACACTATCATCAATGGTTTTACATTAAAATATTTGAATGTAATATTTTTTTTATAAGTATTGTTATTCTTAAATATATTTTTGACATCTTTTATATTGTAATAAATTAATATTTTTTAATTTTAAAAAATCTAATAAAATATTTATATTAGATATTTCTTAATTTTTTTATATTAGGGGCCTATTTTTTTAATTTTCTCCCCGAGCCTAAAAATAGTCAAGACCGACCCTGGCTAAAGTCTCAAACCTATGGGTGTAACTTTTTATATCTATGTCTGTCCATTGCCCTAATACTTACATACATCCCCATCTCAATTGGAGCAGGTATGACGTGAAATTCACAAAATTATACCAGTATATCATCCTATTTATGAGACCCTGTCAACGTTATTATATTATATATAACAATGTCTTAATCAAACAAAAATCCACTTCCTCCTAAAGAAAAATGAAAAGAAAAACTTTTTAAAAAGTGTTCATCCCAGTCCAAAAACAATCCTTTTTTGCTTCCTTGTCCATAAACTGCTGGTTTCCACAAATGAGATAAGGACCCAACATAATCATCCCAGGCTTCAATTTCAATTAATTAAATGATTAGGTAAATAAAAAAGGAGGTAATTAATCTACCATCATTTCTAGCTGAACACCAAACTAATTATTTACCAGAAATGTGTATGTAATATGAAGAAGAAGAAGAAGAAGAAGAAGAAGAAGAAGAAGAAGAAGAAGAAGAAGAAGAAGAAGAGTGATGAGCTGTAGTAGATAGTTATAAAAGGAAAAGAACAAAGCAGGAATCACGAGAATGGCAACAAAAATCACTGTCAATATGAGATTCAAGGGAAATTATGTATCATTCCAGAATCTATATATATTCTGTGAATGTTTTTCTCAAGATGTCATATTTTACTCCAAAAGCAATAATTTCTAAAATTCCGTTGAAAAGAAAAAAGCATATTAAAAAACCAAGAACGAAAGGGAAAAGCTATGATATTTGGTAATTACATGTGAACTTTTAGGTCCAATAATTCAATCACGAGAGCCAAGAAGAAACAAATGAAGCCAAAGGGGATGTCTATAATTCTCTTTTAAGTTTGGAATCTCAGAAAAGTAAGAAGAGGGCAAAAGAGAAAAATGGAAGAAGAAGAAGAAGACAACAGGCTTTAAATCCCATCAAACATCTCTATTTATCCTTTTCCTTATATCTGCTACGTTTTATTACGAAAATAAAAAAAACCCATGGATTCGACAATAGCTAGGGTTTGTCTGGTTCCCATGTTAAACGAAAAAACCAAAAAGAGTTTCATTCAGCGATTTAAATTACACTTGCGATCTGTTATGTTGCGTTAATCACGATTGCAGAAGAAACAGATACTATTGCAGTCATACACTAATAATTTCGAATGGTACCTTTAACACTATATAACTGTTACTATTCCGATAGCATACTACTGTTTAAATATATGATTTCACGACTGCATCCATCCATGGCCATGTCAGTGCCTGGTTTTAAATGGGTGTGCGAGCTGAGAGATTCATTGTCAGACAAGGGAGAGATATAGTCACGGGTTTGTCTTGAAATGCCCTTATTATTTCACCCTAGTACTCACAGATATATTCATCTCTCTCTCTCTCTCTCTCTCTCTCTCTCTCTCTTTTTAAGGCATAGTTTCCAACAGCTTCTTGCTTTGGTCCTTCAATGGCTCTGATGTTTGATAATTGTGAAGGAGTATTACTATCACTAGACTCCCGCAAAGCAGTTCCGGCACCATTCCTTACAAAAACCTACCAACTGGTCGATGATCCGACCACAGATCATATAGTTTCATGGGGTGAAGAAGACACCACTTTTGTCGTTTGGAGACTGCCTGAGTTCGCTAGTGATTTGCTTCCCAATTACTTCAAGCACAACAATTTCTCCAGCTTTGTCAGGCAGCTTAACACTTATGTACATAAAGAACTCAACTTTGCTCATAATAATTCTCCTTTTGTGTTCTTGGTTTGTGTACTAATCTGGGTTTTTTTTCCTGTTGGTTTTGGATAATGGAAAACCAGGGTTTTAGGAAGATTGTGCCAGAGAGATGGGAGTTTGCCAACGAATTCTTCAAGAAAGGAGAAAAACACTTGCTTTGTGAGATCCATAGAAGAAAAACTACACACCCAGCTTTAAATCATCATCACTATCCTCTGAATCCACCGAGTTTCTTTGATTTTCCTAGTAGAATCAGCTTCTCCCCAACTGAGTCAGATGAACGCGGCAACTGGTGTGATTCACCGCCACCACTTTTTTCCACTGGAGGATATAACAGCTCAGTGACAGCTTTATCAAAAGACAACGAAAGACTAAGAAGAAACAACAATCTGCTAATGTCTGAACTCTTACACATGAAGAAGCTTTACAATGACATTATCTATTTCGTTCAAAACCACGTGAAACCTGTTACTCCATTGTTCCTTTCTGGTCCTCCACCTCCTGTTAACACCAATAATTCATTATTACAAAAGCCATTGAACCAGTTTCTCGGGAATTATCCCAACACTCCAAAGCCCCAAGTTCAGGTCTTGAACTCTCCGACAGAAACATCACAGAGCTCCTTAACGATCGTCAAAGAACCGAGCAGCAATAGTTGCAGAATAAAGCTGTTTGGTGTAAATTTACAGTCGAAGAAGAGACTGCATCCCGAGTATAATAACACAGCAAACATGGAGACTGGCAAGGCACGTTTTCTTGCAAAAAGATGATTTACGGTTGAATTTCATGCCGCCTTCTACATGACAGTTTCCATTAGTTTTATGTCTGTTATAACCTAAACATGTATACAGTATTTTTTTGGGGTTAAAGTGAAGAACACCAATCTTTGATGTTTTGCTCAGTTTTCCATTGGTGCAATTTATTTGTTCATCATTCTGATATCTGTGTGTTTCCCAGTTGCATTAATGGAGGAAAGAGTGAGACACTGAAAGCGAAAATGAAAAAGGCTGAGAGAATGACTGTGTCAATGACAATTTCTCTGGAGATTTCTCCATTAATGTATGATGCGTACAAACATACTCTTTGATATAACACTTCATCTGAATTCAGATATACGGTAGATATCACATTGTTTTCAATAATATGATTATCGGTTGATCAAGATTAAAATCTCCATTATCATCTCTTGTTCCCATCAACTGTCAGTCAACATATTAGAAATATATATATATATATATATATATTAGCAAAGTTAAAGTTAGAGCAGCAGGCATCTCGACAGCTTCTTCGCTATTTCTCGAATGCTGTGATGCATGAAAGTTTTGAATATGTATATAATATAATTCTCACAGTATCTTTGTCGTGCCTATGAATATGATTTCTTCTTCGTCTCACACCAAACTATACTAAAACACCCATAACCCTAAAAGCCTACCCTATACATATGTCTTTGGCTCTTTTACTTTTGTAAATTCCTTGGGTTATGTCCGCACGTGATTCCGACATTAAGTGCGCCTGTGATGTACAAGAAATACACAAAACTAGTCGGATATTCTAGTAATTTTTTAAATCCACTATGTTCACGTCTTCATTCCTATTCCTTTTCTTCCAACACTTTCCTGACAATTTATGGATAAAAACTACAACAGAACACATAGTACATTTGTTAATTAAGATCCATTGAACTTGTCATAAAGTGCGTTAAAGCAAGATTAATTTTGAAATTGTTTGTCTAATTTTCTTTTTAAACTGAACTCTTATTTCTTTTATTGAGAAACAATCAATATTTTACTATGCAACCCCAATCTACAACCGGAAAAAATTGTAAAGCTTTGTCAGTTAAAAGAAGAATAAAATATTATAAAGAACTGGCTCACACATTAGCCAGTATCAGGAATTCACGGCTAAGCACACAAGCCATTTTCTCTTCCTATTTTCTACCTATTTTCTACCGTTAATTTTAATAGTCTATTTTATTAATCTAACGATCCTAAAATCATATAAAATTAAAAATAGTTTACAATCATCCCGTGTGTATATATATATACATTAAAATATGTTCTTTTTAACTTAACCTATTTAAAGTTGCTGTCATTTACAAGTTTTAATGACAACAAACTGTAAATGCTTTGCAGATATCATCAATTCTATATCTCTTTGTGAGAAAAATAAGTTGTGAGAGATGAATGGCATTTCCATTTCCTGGGCAAACTGTCATAGTAAGTAAAAACAAAACTTCAAAGGTAAATTTACATAGAAGCATGGAGGAACTTATTGCTTGAATAAGAAATATTTATGTCTCAAGACATGGCAATTTTTGTACAATATTTATTATCTCCAGCAATTTTTGTTCATCAAACTGGAAATAAATACAGTGGGACATGGAAAGAAACCATTGATCCAAGCAGAAATTGTATAAGAATGCATGGCAGGTGAAGCAACCAGTCAATGAAGCCATGTGGCGGGTTCTACGGGAAGATATAGCCTTCACCTTGCAAGTTGATGGACCTGGTTGGCTATCATCGAACTTGTCATTTCATGGGCTCTCCTTTGAGATGATCTCACCTTGTTCATTATCTTCTCCATTGATGACCATCTCTTCTTTTCCAGCTTCATCTGAAAGAGTGATGCTATCTACTGAATTCCAAAAGCTAGACAAATAATGAATAAAAGAAATAGAGGGACGAAAAACAGCAATCTCTAGCTAGTTAGGAAGACTCAGCCTTTGCCTTGTGCAGGTTCTCCCATGCAATGATTTTAGCTTCTTCTCTTTTGTAAAAAACACGTGTGGAAAAAAATACCTCAACTCTTGTATATTAAATATTTCAGTACACTACATTTATATACAATTCAACTACGTCAGTTAACATACTAACTGACTTCCAACTAACTGCTAACTAATTAACAATCTTACTAACTAACTCTCAACTTCCTAACACTCCCCCTCAAATTGGTAGTCCAAAGATATTTTTGACTCCCAACTTGGAAATTAAATACTCATGCTGCCAAGCTCCCAAGGCTTTGGTTAGAACATCTGCTAATTGATTTGCTGTTGGAACATAAGCTGTGTTGATCACCCCTTCTTTCAGCTACCCCATTTTGCTGAGGAGTATCAACACAAGAGAACTGATGAACAACACCAAAGGAAGAGAAAAGAGACAAACAGTCTTTGCTAAAAAATTCAGACCCATTATCACTACGAATGATTTTTATAGAAGCTTCAAATTGAGTATGGACCAAAGAAAAAACTTTTTTAAAGAGACAATGTCATCAGACTTTAGTTTCAGTAAATAGACCCAGGTCATTCTTGTACAATCATCAATAATTGTCAGAAAAAAACCTATAACCACTATGAGTAGAAATTCTGTATGTACCCCACAAGTCCATATGAATCAGATAAAAAGGGAGACTAGACCGAGACTGACTTATTGGGAAAGGCAACCGAGCTTATTTAGCTAAAAGACAAATCGAGCAAGAATGAATTACAGAGGAATCCAATTTACAGTCACCCAACGACATATGATGCAATTTGAGAAAAGAAGCATGTCCTAAGTGAGAATGCCAAATGGAAGTTTTATTATGAATAGAGGACATACAATGAGTTTTAACATTGAAAGGCACCTTAGAAGCAAAACTAATAAAAGAACCAAAAGAATGAAGAACTTACAAGCCCCCTTGTTTCTTACCAATCCCCAGCATCTTGCTACTGAAGAGATCCTGAAAGACACAAAAATCAGGATAAATCTGAACAACACAATTTAAGTCAACTGTCAGTTTGGAAACAGATAATAAATTGTGAGTGAAGGATGAGACATATAGTACATTTTGTAAATAATGAGAAGAATCAAACCAATAAGAACCATTATGTGTTATAGGCAAGGTTTTACCATTCGGGAGATGAACAAATCGTGAGGTACATGCAACAGGATTACTCAAGCATTCAAAACTAGACAACATATGGTCAGTAGCACCAGTGTCAAGAATCCAGGTAATCAAATTACGTTCAGAAGTAGGTAAACCACTATGAATCATGCCTACAAAGTTGGCATCAGCAACATCACCAGAATCATGAACATCCTTATTGAGGAGCTCCAGCAATCGGTTATACTGGTATGTTGTAAACATTGGCACCAACGGAGCAGTCACAGGGGAGGACTCAGAACGAGTATCATTCTGTTCAGAGTTAGCCACCATAGCAGAAGAATACTTCTTTTCCTTTGTAAATTTGAACTCAGGAGGGAAGCCATTGAGCCGATAACACTGCTCTCGTTTATGGCCACAAATTTTACAAAAGTCACAGACTCCATTTAATTTACCACGACGAGGAGTAGAGGAATTGGAGTACATCGCTGTCACATCAGAAAGAGGGGAAATACCGAAAGATAGATATCTCTATGACTCCTCCTGAACCACCATCGAATACGCCCGATTAACCGAAGGAAGAGGATCCAGAAGAAAAATCTGGCTCCGAATCGCAGAATATGTCTCATTCAGCCCCATTAAAAACTGAAACAATCGTTATTGAAGAGCATGATTCAAGGCTTGTAAAGAATCAACACAGTTACAGGAAGATACATGAACTAATGCACTGTATTCATCCCAAAGTAATTTCAGCCGCGAATAATAGGTGGAAATGGATGAATCGCCTTGAGTAAAGAGAGCAATCTCTCGATGTAAGAAGAAAATTCGTGACCCATCAACCTTGTTGAAGCGTTCCTTCAGATCTTTCCAAACAAGTGCTGCAGTGGAAGCGAATACCAATCCCGCAGAGAGGTCAGCACTTACTGTGTTCAAAATCCATGAAAGAACGATTGCGTTACACCGATCCCACTACGGTTGCAAGAGTTTAGCAAAATCACTCCGAACATAATCACCGTCGACGAACCCTAACTTGTTCTTCGCTAGCAGCGCAATACGAATCGAGCGGCTCCAGAGATTATAATTCTCAATTCTCGTCAACTGATACGAGACTAGTACAGTCCCAGGCGTATCCGACGGATGAAGGTAGAGAGGGTGCGTGAAATCAATCGATTTCATGGAAACAAAGAAAGAAGAGAAAGTGAATCAGTGGAAAAAAGAGGCAAAAAACAGAAAAGGTCGAGCCACACGAGACCTTTCCTCTAATACCATGTAAAAAACACGTGTGGAAAAAAATACCCCAACTCTTGTATATTAACTATTTCAGTACACTATATTTATGTACAATTCAAATACGTCAGTTAACATACTAACTGACTTCTAGCTAACTGCTAACTAATTAACAATCTTGCTAAGTAACTCTCAACTTCCTAACATCTTTTGACCCTGCAGAAATGAGAGAAAGAGGTTGAAATATGAAAAACGACCAAATATGTCCTGTAAACATTTCAATCTCTTCTCATGTTCTCGTTGAAATATCAGCACCAACGTAATTGCATTTATTTATTTATGTTATAATTTTTTTAATGTTTGTAAGTTTTAAGATTTAATTGTTGAAGGTTAAGTATTTCCTTGCCTATATAAGAAAGCTTCGTGCTAGCTTTCTAAAACACACTAAATAAATCAAGTGTTCTTCCATTAATTTGATTAATTATTTCGTCCACTTATTATTTTGAGCATTTGTTAGCCTCTGAGGTATTCAACAATTGGTATCAAGAGCTTTGGTGAGGGTTGTTCGGTTGTTGCTAAAGTAGTTCTAACTTCTACAAAGTGAAATGTTGTTTATGAAGTAAGGCAATACGGCAGTCAAAAATACTTTCACAAACTAAAGTTGTTATGCTGTGAGATTTTT